GCCGTGTCCCCGCAGTGCTGCGGGACGAGTTCCGACAGCCCCCGGGGGACGTGGTGGTGGCGGCGGGAGAACCGGCCGTGCTGGAGTGTGTCCCGCCCCGCGGCCACCCCGAGCCCAGCGTCTCCTGGAAGAAAAACGGAGTCCGGGTCAGCGACAAGGATGAGCGCCTGACGGTGAGAGGGGCCAGAACTGGGCTGATGGTGATGGAAGGGAGAGAGGAAATTTTATTGGGATACAGGATGTGATGGGGATGTGGGGTGTGACATGGATGCGGGTGCAGTGAGGATACAGGATGCACTGAGGATCTGGAATGTGTTGGTGATGTAGGATGCAGCAGAGTTGTGTGAGGTGATGGATATGGGATGAGATGGGGATGTAGGATGGGGTAGGGATATGGGATGCATGAGAGATTTGGGATGCAATGGAAACAGGGGATGTGATGACAGTGTGGGTGCAATTGTGAGATGCAATGAGGATACAGGATGTGATGGGCATGCAGGATGCAGTCAGGATGGGAGATGCAATGAGGATTTGGGATGAGGTGGGGATATGAGATGCAATGAGGATGCAGAATTCGATGAAAATGGGAGATGTGTGTGTTTATGCAATGAGGATGTCGGATGTCATAGAGACATGGGATGCAGTGGGGGTAGGATGCAAAGGGGATGTGGGATGCGATGAGGATGTGACAGGACGTGGGATGAGCTGTTCTTCCTGCAGATCCGTGGTGGGAAGCTGATGGTGGCCAGTACTCACAAGGGCGATGCTGGCGTCTATGTCTGCGTGGCCACCAACGTGGTGGGGGAGAGGGACAGCGAGCCGGCCAAGCTGGTGGTCTTTGGTGCGTGGGGATTTAATTTTTGGGGTGTCAGGGAGGTGGGTGCTATCCTGGTGGGACTGACGGCCAGCCCGCAGAGCGCCCAGCGTTTGGCAAGAGGCCCCACAACCAGGTGGTGCTGGTGGAGGGGACGGCGGAGTTTGCCTGCGAGGTGGCGGGGGATCCGCAGCCGGCGGTGCGCTGGCGCAAGGAGGAGGGTGAAATGCCACTGGGAAGGTGAGTAGAGGGTGAGGGGGGTGGCTGAGGGACACCAAGGGCAGCCAGGGTTCTGGGGTGCAGCTGGGTGACATCAGTAGGTGCCAGCCTGCTGTGCTTGGAGCACCTGGCATCCTCATGGCATCAATAATTGCATCCCATAACCCTGGCGCCTCCTCCATCCTCAGCACTTCCTGCGTCCCTACTGCATTCCACATTCCCATTGTGTCACATCTCCATCACATTCCACATCCCCCTGTGCATCTCAAATCCTCATTGCATCCCACATCTTTGCATCCCACACTCTTATCGCATCCCAAATTCCAGTCAAATCCCATATCCTCACCTCAACCCACATCCCCATTGCATCCCACATCCCCATCACATTCCACATCTCCACCGCATTTCACATCCCCATCACAGCTCCCATTTTCCTGCATCCCAGATTTCCACTGTAGCCGTCACATCCCACATTCCCATCACATCCTGCATCCTCACTACCTCCCCACCCCATGGCACCTTACACCCTCCTGGTGCCCCAGCACGCTGCTGGTGCCACAGCCTGATGGGGTTCCCCCAGGTGGGAGATGCTGCCAGACAACACCCTGCGGATCAGCCGGCTGCAGGTGGAGGATGAGGGCACCTACACCTGCGTGGCTGATAACAGCGTGGGCAGGTCTGAGGCATCGGGCACCCTCACTGTGCATGGTAAGGAGGGCCCTGGGGAACACCCTTGGGTGCTGGTGCAGTGCTCAGACAAGCCCTTGTCTCTCCCCATGCTGCTGCAGTGCCCCCGCAGCTTGTCACCGGGCCCCAAGACCAAGCTGTCACCCCTGGCCAGAGCGTGACTTTCCAGTGCCAGAGCAAGGGCAACCCACCACCTGCTGTCTTCTGGCAGAAGGAGGGGAGCCAGGTCTGTCTCCTTCCCTCCTCCTTGACCTCACACCCAATCATAGCCCCATCCTCATCCCAAGCCCATCACCATTTCCATTCCATCATAATCCCTATCTCAATTGCCACTCCATCCTCACCTCATCTCCATCCTAATCTCAATTTCACACCAGTAACAATCCCTATCCCTTCCTGTCCTCATCACCATCCCATCACAGTCCCTATTACATACCTGTCCCCATTCCATTCCCATCACAGTTCCCACCATATGCCATCCCATCCCATCCCATCCCATCCCATCCCATCCCATCCCATCCCATCCCATCCCATCCCATCCCATCCCATCCCAATTTCCCCAATCTCATTCCCATTCCCACCCCTAACCCTGACCTCATCTCATCGCCTGCTTCTCATCCCTCATCCCCCACTAATCCCACTCCCGCTCAGACCCTGCTGTTCCCGGGCCAGCCCCCAATCCCTTCTGGCCGTGTTTGGGTGAGCCCCAGCGGTGCTTTGACCATCATCAACGTCCAGCCTGGAGATGCTGGCCACTACCTCTGCCAGGCTATCAGCGTGGCCGGCAGTGTCCTGGCCAGGGCCAGCCTGGAGGTGACAGGAGGTAAGTCCAGTGCCAGTGGAGAGCTGGCACATCCAGTGTATGAGTGACACCCATCCCACCACCCAGCAATTCCCAATTTTCTCCCTGTAGCACCCACCGAATTCCAGCCGCCGGTGCTCAGCCTGCTTCCCGCTAACCGGACAGTGCTGCCAGTGGGGGCCACAGTGCGGCTGCCTTGTGGAGCGGGGGCCCATGAGCCCCCAGGCAGCGTGGGGTGGCTGAAGGATGGCAGTGCCCTGGTAGGTGTCCAGCCCCGTGCCAGCCTGCTGGAGAACGGCACCCTGCAGATCACCGGCCTCCGGGTGAGCCGGCCCCGGCAGGGGCACCCGTGGGGGTACTGCAGCGAGGGAGGGGGCAGTGGCTACCAGGGGTGGAGCAAAGGGAGATGGATGCTCATAGTGGTGGGTGCAAGCAGTGCTGGGGCTCAGGATGGTGGGTACAAAGCATGGTGGGTGCTCATGGTGGTGGATAAAAAGTGTAATGGGTGCTCATGGTGGTGGGTACAAAGCATAGTGGGTGCTCAGGGTGGTGGGTACAAAGTGTGGTGGGTGCTGAGGTGATGGGTGCTCAGGGTGATGGGGCAGGAGCTCTTCCCCCTGCAGGTGAGAGACTCCGGGCTCTACAAGTGTGTGGCCACCAGCCCAGCGGGTGAGACACACTGGGGCATCTCCTTGGAGGTACAAGGTGGGTCATGGAGATCTCACTACAGCAGGGACACCGTGGCACTGGGAACAAAGCCACCCCAGACCTCCATGCATCTCCCTGCAGGTGGTGAATCCGACCTCTCCCTGTCTTCCCCTGTACCCGATCTCCTCCCTGGGCCACCCTCCACCCCTGTGGTCACCAACATTACCAAAAGCAGTGTCACGCTGAGCTGGAAAGGGAACGAGGACAATGGTGCCACCGACGTCACCTCTTACATAGTGGAGGCTTTCAGGTATCACACAAACCTCTTTGGCTGCAGGGATGATGTGGTGGCCCAATACCACCCTGTCACGAGTCACCCCTGTCCCCTGGCAGCCAGGCGGTGGGTGGCCCGTGGCAGACAGTGGCATCTGATGTGGAGAGTGAGACCCACACAGTGACTGGCCTTGTCCCTGACACTGTCTACCTGTTCTTGGTGCGGGCGGTCAATGCCCACGGGCTCAGCGACCCCAGCGGCGTCTCGGAGCCTGTGCGCACCCAAGGTGAGACCCAGCAGTGACATCAGTGGAGGTGTCCAAAACACCCCACCCTTGGGTCCATCTCCACTTGGTGACACCAATGGAGGTGCCCATGCACCCAAAATCTTTGAGTCCAGCCTTGCCCAGTGATGCCAGTGGAGTTGCCATGGGTATGTGCTGTCACCGTGGCTCCTTCACTTGGTGACACCAGTGGAGATATGCATGGACCCTCCACCCTCTCCTGTTTCCAGCAGACACCAACCCCATGCAGCAAGGGCTGGATCCTGAGCAGGTGCAGCAGGAGCTGGCACAAGTGGCTGTGCACCTGAAGGAACCTGTGGTGCTGCCACTGGGCACTGTCCACCTCTCCTGGACCGTGAGTGCTGAGCCTCCCTACCGGTACAGGGCTCCCAGTGTTGCTCATGCCCCCATCCCACCCTTCCCTCGGGTCCTCAGGTGGAGCACCAGGCACCCTTCCTTCAGGGCTACCGGGTGCTGTACCGGCAGCGTGGTGGGCGCTGGGAGGAGGCACGGACGGTATGGGCGCCAGGGGAGCGGGGGGCCCTGCTCACCGAGCTGCGCCGGGGCCAGGACTACGAGGTCAAGGTCCGACCCTATTTTCATCACCTCCACGGTCCCGACAGCGCTGTGCGAGCTCTGCACACCCCTGAAGCGGGTGAGTGCGGGGATGGAGGGGATACTGTGGGTCCCTGGAGACAACCTGGAGGTGATACCCCATGTGTCCTCCACCGGCAGCCCCCAGTGCCCCACCACGAGCTGTCAGTGTGGCTGGGAATGGTACCAGTGTCCGCATCTCATGGCAGCCCCCACCTCTGGCAGAGCAGAATGGGGTCATCCGTGATTACCGGGTAAGCGTGGACAGCAGCAGGGATGTGGCAGCTCCACTCTGTCCACTCATGACACCATGTCATGGCATCCTTATGGGTGTTCCCCATCTTTTCCTCCTGGTTCCCACCAGATTTGGTGCTTGGGCAACGAGAGCCGCTTCCACATCAACCAGAGCGTGGAGGGGACGGTGCTGGCAACAGTGCTGCAGGGACTTGTCCCCGGGGTCTCTTACCGTGCTGAAGTTGCTGCTGCCACCAGTGCTGGTGTGGGTGCCCGCAGTGCCCCTGTCCCCATCCACATCGGTGAGTCCCTGATTGTCACAACTGGCACCTCTGGTGGGGCATGACGGGGTCGCCCACTGCAGTGCTGGGGACAGCTCCTTGGCACCTCGCCGGTGTGTCCCTCTTTCCTATGTCACTTGCAGCCCCCCTGGTGGAGCAAGATGTGGGGCCAGCAGGTGGGAGCAGCTTGACTGAGCATTTAGCAGAGGTAGCCAGGCAGCCAGCCTTCATTGCCGGCGTTGGTGGCGCTTGCTGGGTCATCCTCGCTGCCTTTGCTGCTTGGCTCTACAGCCGCCGCCGGAGGAAGAAGGAGCTCAGCCACTTCACCGGTACAGGGGGTGCTACTCCTGGGACCCCTCACCCTTCACCCCTCACCCATCAGCCACCCACCGTCCCTCTCTTTACAGCATCCTTTGCCTACACGCCCACCGGTAAGCCCGTAAGTGCTGCGGGGTCCCAGTACGGCCTCTCGCTGCCCTCACCCCCATCTCTTTCCACAGTCAGCTTCCCAGCTCCAGTGCGCAGCAACCCCAGGTAGCCCCCCCGGCACCCCCTGCCCTCCCCAGGAGCCCCAGGGCTGACCACCAGCATTCCTTCATCCCATCCCCTTGCAGGGCAGCTGCCGGCGGTGGTTACCCGTGGCTGGTGGATGCGTGGCGTGGTGGCAGCACAGCCAGTTCTGCCGGTTGTTTGGGGAGCACTGAGAGATACTACAATGGTGAGGGGTCAGCATGGGGCTGGGTGGCTCTTGAGGGGGTCACGATCTGCCCTGATGATGCTGGTCACCCTCTGCAGATGCCGGCATCACCCGTTACATCGCCCAGACAGAACAGTTTGGAGTGGGGGCTGGCGAGGGGCCGGTTTACAGCACCATCTCGGCTGACAGTGAGGAGATCTGCACATTCCCCCGTCCCTTCTCACAGTATGGGACCTCCTACCCTGGGGGCGGTTCCCAGCCAATGGATGCTGCAGCCTCCCAGGTGCCCCGTGGCCGGGCTGAGCACGGTAGGGTGGCTGGAGGGGTGGGGGCACACATGGGTGCTCGTGGTGTGGTGCCCTCCCCACAGCCCCCCCAGCATCCCTCCTTGGCACAGGGGCCAGAGCAAAACTGGGGCAAGCAGTGAAACCACCGGTGGTGAGCTGGACAGAGCTGCTGCCCCCGCCACCCTCAGCCAGTGAACTCAGCCAGTGTGCCCAGGAGGAGGAGAAGGAGGAGGAAGAGGAGGATGAAGAGGAAGAGGCAGCCGGAGGGTGAGTGGGGGGGCTTAGGGGCTGGGCATGCTGCCCCCAGCAGCTACCCTGTGGTCTCCACCCTGCAGGCTGGGGATGGAGGTGTGGTACCCTGGTGAGGACATCCCCTGTGCCACTGCTGCATCCTCACCCACCACCTCCTCTGGCTGCCGTTCCACCGCCACGCTGACACCATCACCTCGCACCACAGAGGACATCCCTCGCCTCCGCGACTTCGATAGCTCCCTCCTGCCCCGGTAGGAGATGGGCCTTGCTTGGTATGGCCGTGCCATTGGGGTCTGGATGCCCCATTGGGGTCCAGATGTCCCATCCAGCTCCAGATGTCCCACCATGGCCTGGGTGTTCCATTGCGATCCAGCCATGTTGTCACTACCCGGCCCTGCCATACCATCATGGTCCAGCTGTGTCATTAGGGTCCAGGTGTCTCACTGGGGTCCAGATGGTTCTGTTGGGGTCAAGATGCCTTACCATGGTCCAGATGTTCCACCACAACCCAGCCATTTTGTCACCATTTGGCTCTGCCATGCTGTCATAGCCCAGCCACGCCGCTGAGGGCCAGATATGCCGCAGAGGTGTCCCATTGAGGTCTGGATGTTGTGCCCAGTTTACATGATCCAGTTCCACTGCTCCACCACAGTCTGGCCTTACCACTGGACTCTGGATCAGGCTCTGGATGTCCCATCGTAATCCAATCACACTGTCATGATCTGGTCCTGCTGTGCCACCTGACCATACCATTGGGATTTGGATGCCCCAATGGACTCTGGATGTCCTACCATGGTCCAGGTGTCTCTTTGTGATCCATTCATGGTGTCACCATCCACCCCTGCTCTCCAGCTGTGCTCTGGCCACACTGTCATGACACATCCATGACATTGTGTGTGACTGGGGCATTGCAACACAGCTGCACCATCACGAGACAGGTGGGCCATCATCACCCAGCTGTGCTGCTGTGACCCAGCTCTGCCATGATCTGCCTGTGCCATCACAATGCTGGCATGTCACTGCACTCCAGCTGTGCAGCTGCAGTCAAGCCTCCATGGTTGCAATCCAGCTGTGCTATGACCCAGCTGGGCAGCTGCAGCCAAGCTGCATGGTTGCAATTCACTTGTGCTACAATCTAAGTGTGTAATGATTTAGCTGTGCAGCTGCAATCTGCTAGTGTGCTTGCAATCCAGATGTGTGGTGATCCAGCTGTGCCACTGCAGTCTAGCTGTGTGGCTGTAATCCAGCTGGGCAGCCTCTATCCAGCTGTGCTCCAGATGTGCCATTGCAGGCCAGCCATGCTACCACAACCTTGCCAGGCTGTGGTCCTCCACCCTAGCTGGGCCACTGCACTAATCCAGCTCCCCTTTGCCACCCCAGCTGTGATCCAGCTGTGGCACTTCTACCTACCTGTGATGCTTCAAGCCCACCTACACCATTGCCATCCATGTGACAACGCCGCATGGCTTCTTCCAGATCTGGCATAGCTCTAGAGGGCTTGTGCCAGCACTGTGGTGGCCACTGAGCCCCCATGCCACTCCCCCCGCCCTGGCTTCATTCCACCCCCCTCTTTGCCAGGAGACCCCCCCATGGTGTCAGCACCCCCCCACAGGCACCCAGTCCCTCGGTGACTCCGGATGCCAGCGAGGGCCACCCACCCCGAGCCCTCTGCCCTCCTGGCACAGGTGAGCCCCGAGGGGCCACTTTGGGTGGGTGGGGCCTCACTGGCCATTGAGGGGGCTGACGCTGCCATTCCCACCTCCCCAGGGAAAACCCGCGGGGTGATCTCCAAAAGTCGCCTGAAGCCCAAATGCAGCCGCTACCGCCGGGAAAAGCGGATGGGAGGTGAGTGGGAGGAATAAACCAGGGAGTTCAGGAGGCTCAGGGGAGCTCAGCCCCCTCCTCCCTCTCTGCCGCAGAGCTGCCCCCGCCGCCGCTGCCGCCACCGGGCGAGACCCCCGGGCCCTGTCCGGAGCTGGAGCCGAGCGGGGCTGAGCGCAGGGTCGCCCACCGCCCTCCCCGCGGCGGTAAGCACAGCCACCGACCGCGCCGCGAAAGGTCTGGGGGTGTCGCTGCGAGCCCCAGCCTTGTCCCCTCCCCTGCAGATGAGGTCACCCCCTACAGCAAACCCTCCTGCCTGCCCCGCGGGCAGGTGTCCGGCAGCTGCTCCACCGCCGGCAGCGTCTCGTCCCGCGGCTCCAGCGGCTCCCGCGGCCACGGCTCGGGGCGCAGCCGGACGCCGGGGGACCGCGGCGAGGGGACCGGCCACTGCCGCCGGCCAGGGGCCCCGCTCCCCTGCCCGCCGCAGGAGAAGCGATAAAAGGGAGGGCGAGTCGGTGACATGGGGATGGGGACACGGGGGACACGGAGGGATGTTCTTTAATTTCTGAGTGGCTCCAAAGAAATAGGGTTGCACAGAGGTCGCGGCCAGTCGGCGTCAGAGTGAGGGGGACAGGGATTCTAGGGGTGGGGCGAGGAATTCACAAGGAATTAGGACACTGGGGAGGAACAAGGATGCTCGGGAAGGACAAGGAAGATGCTCAAGGGAGGACATGAACACTGGGGACAGAAACAGTTGGGATGAGCAGAAGATGAGATGAGCAGAAGAGGGATGAGGGTGCTGGGGAGCGATGAGGAAGATGCTTAACTGGGGCAAAAATCCTGGAGACAAGGACAGCTTGGAGGAACAAGGGTGCTGGGAAAGGACAAGGACATCTGTGAGGGCTGAGGTGATTGAAGGGGAAGGGGACAGTTGGTGGGGGACAGGATTAAATGGTGGGGGACAAGGATACAGCAGATGGATGAGGGTGCTGGTGAGGTACAAGGAAGGCTGGGGCACAAGGATGCCTGGAGGGAAGAGGACACGGAGGAAGGACAAGGATTTCTAGGGGATTGAGGATTGCTGGGGGGAAGAGGACACTTGGAAAAAACCAAGATTGCTTGGGAGGGTCAAGGACAGTAGTGAGGGACAAGGAGGATGGTTGCAGGGGGATGAGGACAGTGGGGAAGGAAAAGGACACTTGGCATGGGGAACAAAACAACTGATGAAGGATGCGGATGCTCAGGAGGGCTGGGAAGCCCGGAAATGAAGATGGTTAGGAGGGACAAGGACATTTAGAGGGAGCACAAGGCCACTCAGGTGGCTTGGGAAGGATGAAAACATTTGGGAGAGACAAGGATAGAAAAGGTTGGACAAGCATGTTGAGGAAGAGCATGAACTATCAGAAATCATAAGGATGGCTGCAAGGAATGGGAATAGTCAGCGGGAACGGGGATGGTCAAGGGGGTCAACAACCCTTGGGAAAGACAACACAGGGTGGGCAACAGTGCTTATGTTGGAGAAGGATTGTAAAGGCGGATAAGTATGCCAGGGAAGGAGTAGGACACTGAAGAAGGACAAGGACATTTAGAGGGATGCAGACTCTTGGGGAGGATGAGGATGCTGGGGAGGAATTTGGGAAGGGTTGGGGATGCTGAGGAGGGATGGGGACACTGCAAGAAGGACACTTGGGAAGGACAAGAACACTGAATAATGAGGGACACCCACCCACCTAGGTGCCATCCACCTTTTGTGGGTGACTTTTCCTAGTACAGAGCCCCGGTTTGGGGAGCTGCCTAATAAAGCTGGATTTTAGCTGAGCCAATGGGTCTGGCCTTGCTGTGTCCTGCGCCCTGGGGACTGCCTCGCTCCTGTCCCTCCTGTCTGCAGCTCACCACCTTCCCTGGCCCAGGGGCTGCCAATCCCCGACCCTTGGCCACCTGGAAAGCAAAGGAAACATTTTCCAACACCCTGCAACAACCTCACCACCCCGGTGCCCACCACCCTGACAATGGGGCACTACTCACCATTCTGTGAGCTACTGTTAATGGCTGCCTCTCTCCTGGTTCTCTGTGGGGCCTCCAGCACTGTCCGCCAGTCCCAGGTGGTGGTGTGGACTCCAGGTGGGAAGACCTGCTCCAGAGGCGATGGTGGTGGTGAGGGACCTGCAGAAAGAAGGCAAGAGAAGGTGGCATCACCACGGTGTCATGATGGAGCCATGTTCCTTGAGGAGGTGACAATACTCGGGGTCAGAGAGGGGGTCCAGGGACCCTCCACTCACCCTCGTAGGCCCCATCGGTGTCCTCAAGGCTGTAGCAGAGGCCATCGATGGCCACGGCCAGTGCCCGGGCAAAGCTGGCGTCCAGGAGGAAGGAGCCATCGCAGGAGCTCACCAAGCTGCAGCGGGTGCTGGCAAAGATGTCCTCCGAGACAGACCCCCAGCCATTCAGCAGCGACCCTCCTGGTGAGCCCCTCGTTGCTGTATGCTCTTCCTCCTCCTCCTCCTCTTCCTCCTCCTCCTCCTCCTCACCTAGCTCAGAGGCTGATGGCCCATAGATGTAGCCATAGGTGTGCAGGGGTGAGAAGGACCGTGGTGTGGTTGGTGCTGGGGGTCTGTGGGGAACACAGCGAGGGTACTGCTGGTGCCAGGGGATGCTGCAATCATGGAATGTCCCAGGGGGGTGGGGAATACCTGCAGCAGTTAGTGTCCTGCTCCATCTCCAGGACCTCAGCCACCTGCTGTTGTGTGAGGACCCCGTCGCTGAACGCTGGCGAGAGGCGCCCGGTGGCTGGGGACATGTCCTTGGCGTACCTGGTAGCCAGGAATATGTCCCTTGAGTGCCTGGCCTCCAGTGACATGTTCCAGGTGTGGCTGGTGGCTGGGGACGTGTCCTTGGGATACCTGGTGTCCAAGAACTTGTCCTTCTGGTGACCAGTGGCAGGAGACACCTCTTCAGGATGCCTGGTGGCTGGAGATGTGTCCCTGGGGTGCCTGGTGGCTGGAGATATGTCCCTGGGGTGCCTGGAGGCTGGAGATGTGTCCTTGGGATGCCTTAGTGCTGGTGACATGTTTTCAGGGGACCTGCTGCACAGGGACACGTCCCTTGTGTGCATGGTCACCAGTGATGCATCCCTGGGGCTCCTGGTGGCCTGAGATATATCCTTAGAGTACCTGGTGTCCAACAACTTGTCCCTGTGGTGCTTGGGGACTGGTGGCATCTCCTCAGGGTGCCTGGTGAATGGAGATGTGTCTCTGGGGTGCCCAGTGGCTGGCAGTATGTCGTTGGGATGCCTCAAGGCTGGTGACATATTTTCAGGGGACCTGCTGCACGGGGACACGTCCCTTGTGTGCACGGTCACCAGTGATGGCTCCCTGGGGTATTTGTTGGCTGGGGACATGTCCTTGGCATACCTGGAGGCCAGGAACTTGTCCCTGCAGTGCCTGGTGGGTGGGGACATCTCCTTGGGCAGACTTATGCCTTGGGACATGTCCTTTGGGTGCCTGCTGGTTGGGGACATGTCCTTGGGGTGCCTGGTGGACAGTGAGATGTCCCTCTGGCACTTGGCTACTGGTAATGGGTCTCTGGGGCACCTGGTGACCAGGGAGGTGTCCTCAGGGTGCCTGGTGGCCAAGACTGTGTCCCTCTGGTTCTTGGTTGGTGGTGATGGATCCTTGTGGTGCCTGGTGGCTGGTGACCTGTTCCTGGGGGTCCTGGTGACTGAGGACACATCCTTGGCATGCCTGCTGTCCAGGAACATGTCCTTGGGCTGCTCAGTGACCAAGGACATGTCCCTAGGGTTCCTGGTGGCTGGTGACACACCCCTGGGGCTCTCAGTGACTGGGGACATGTCCCTGGGGATCCCAGGGAGTGGGGACATGTCCTTGGGATGCCTGGTGACCAGAAATGTGTCCCTGGGGCACACGGAGGCCGGGGACCTGCAGGTGCAAGGGACATGTTGGGTTTTGCAGCAAAGGGTTGGGTTGCAGGGCACCCACCTGGATGGGGACACCCAGACTCACCGTGTCACTGGTGGGTGCCAGGCATGGGGTGGTCTCGGCGGTGTCACCAGTGATGTGGTTACACCAGAGGCCGGTGAGGTGCTGCCCCGAGGTGGCTTTGGAGAGCTGAAGACCGGTAGCTGTGGGTCTCTGCTGTCCATCATGGCAGAGATGGTGTCACCCTCGTGTCCCCTTTGCTGAGGCTGCCTGGCTGCCTGCCCAAAGTCTGTCCCCCACTCGCCTCCACTTCCAGAGACAGGGATGTGGCTGGGGCCAGCTGTGAGCACAGGGGTGCTGTGCACTTGGTGCAGCTCTGCGAGGGGAATGAGGGACACAAAGCCATGGGCCATTGCCCTGGTGTCCCCCATGTCCCCCCATGTGTCCCCCACACCCACCTCTCTTGCGAACACGCTCCCAGGGTGCTGGGTTTGGGGTGCTGGGTGAGGAATGCACCCCGGGGTGCCCCCCACCACAGCACCCCATGTCCCCGAGGGGCGGTGGGTGTCCCCCATGGAGGCTGCTGTGGATGGGGGGCGTGGGGGGACCAAGGCTCGGCGGCTCCAAGGAGAGGGCTGCAAGAGTAAGAGAGGTCAGGGCACTCATGGGGTCACCTGTCCCCTCTCTCCTTGGGGCTGTGTGTCCTCAAGTCCTTGCTGCCTGCAGACAGACAATGGGGGACACCAGTGTGAGGGTCCATGGCAGTGGGGGTCCCCAGCACAGAGTGGGGGTCCTGGGCACACTTTGTTGGTCCCATGGCATTCTGTTGGGGTCCTAGGCCTGGGCTGGAGGTCCTGTTGCAGCAGGCCAGGGTTCCATAGAATTGGGTGGGGATCCAATGGCATCACATGGGATGGAGGAGGTCCCACAGTACTGGTGGGGGTTCCATGGCAGAGAGTGGGGGCTCTGTGGCACTAGGTGGGTTCCCACCCTAGTGTTCAGTGGAGGGGTGGGGGTCCCATGGCAATGGGTGGGGATACCAGTCTCCACAGGGCTCACTGGAGGGGTGGGGGTCCCTGCCATCACTGCCCAGGAGCCGGCTGCTGAGGCTGCTGCTGCTGCTGAGGTTTCGGGGAGCACAGCTGGGTTTCCAGGGACCACCAAGCCATGGCGAGTCACCAGCCACCAGCCTGCAGGGCAAGAGGTGCTGTCAGTGCATCAATCCCCACACCAGGGATATGCCATGTCCCCCACCCCGTGGCCTCTCACCTGTGGCGAGCTGCAGCGTCCTGGCTGGCCCGGCGCTGGCAGAGGAGGAGGAGGAGGGCGAGTAAGGCCAACCAGAGCATGGAACCAGCGGCTGCGATGACAGCAGGCTGCTGCAGTGCCTGGACCATCCTGCTGCTCCCTGCTGTCAGCCCTACAAGGATCCCATCAGTGTCACTTGATGTCACCACCTTGACCCCCACCCACACCCCACCTTGCTCTCCATCTCCTACCCAGGACTCCACACGTGGCATTGCTGGGAACCCCCAGTCCTGCACTGTTGAAAGCTGCCACCTGAACACAGAATTCGGCCCCAGGGTGTAGGAGGAGGTTTTCCAGGCGGTGGGTGGCTCCGTCCACTGTCCTGTTGGTGGGATGCTGCCAGCCCTCACCCATTGACCAGACCTGGCAGGCACCAAGAGGATGTGTCCCCTTAGATGATTAGCCTTGATGGCCCCCCTGTGGATGGACATCCTGTGGATGGAGCCCCTTGGATGGACTCCTTTAGATGAACGTCCCTTGATAGACTCCCAGTGATGGATCCCCCATGGATAGATTCACTTGGATGGGTCCTCTTAGCTGAGTGTCCTTGATGGACTCCCCTTGGCAGGACCCCTTTGGACGGGCTCCCTTGCATGGCCCTAGGATGGACCTCCTTGGGTGAATACTTCTTGGATGGACCGCCATTGATGGATCCTCCTTTGGATGGACCCCCTTGGCTGAATCCCCTAGGCTGGACTCCTTTGGATGAGCTCCCTTGGATGCCACTAGACAGATGCCCTGGGATGGACTTCTGCCTTGGTTGGTCCTTTTGGATGAACCCCCTCCTGGACAGACTCCTTGGATGCTGCCCCCCATGGATAGATCCCACCTTTGACAGGTTCCCTTTTTGGATGGATGCCCTTGGATTGACCCTCCTTGGCCAGAAGAGCCCAGCCCTTCCCCCTCGCCCCATTGCCCGAACCTGGTAGCCCCGGATGACGCCGTTGTGTGCTTCAGGAGGAGGTGGCTCCCAGCTCACGACCACGGTGCCGTTCCCTGCCTCAGCCTGGCTGACGGTGACACGCTGGGGCGCTGCACTAGGGACTGCCACGACAGGGGGACAGGGATACTGAGACCCCTGGGACCCCAAACCGACCTCCCCATCCACCACCCAGACATCCCCGGGGACACACGACGCACCTTCCTCGGGTATCCAGAGGTGCCTGCTGTTGCTGTCTGAGCCCTGGGCTCCTCCAGTGTAGGGTCGGACCTTGAACTCGTACTTGTAGCCCCTGCGGAGCGCAGGGATGACGGTGCTGAGCTCCCTGCCTGCGTCGTGCTGGACCCAGGAGGTGGTGACCGGGAGCAGGCTGCGGTACAGCACCACGTAGCCCACAGGCACCGGCACCGGCATCAGCACCTGGAGGAGATGGGAAGGATCCCAAGTCAAGGTGGGACGTGGGGATGTGTCCCGTCCCCCCCTCCCCTGGGGGCAGCTGAGCAGCAGGCCAACCTGCCAGCGGAGCTGGACAGCAGCAGTGGGCAGCGCAGTGCCATTGTCCAGGTGCAGCCTCACAGCCAGCAGGTCCCGTGGGGCAGTCTCCTGCTGGCCCCCTGCCAGCCGGTCTGTGAGGCAGAAGAAGACAAATGGCATCACCAGGCAGGACCAGACACCCCCCTCACATACCTGCACATGGAGATCCTGATGTCTGCCTGGATGGACTCACTCAAATGGATCCTTTTGAGCAGACACCCTATGATGGGTCTGTCCTGAATGGACCCCTCTTGGAGGAGCCCCCTTTGATGTGTTGCCCCCAGGCGCATGGGATGGGATTCCATGATACACCCCTCCATGATGTCCCTCTTAGATGGACCCTTTGGATGGCTATTTCTTGTTCTATCCCCCTTTAATGTACTTCCACCTTCCAAAGATCCCCTTAAATGGATCCTCTTGGAGGAACCAGGTTGGCTGGATCCCCTTTAGGTGGGTGATCTTGAATGAATCCTCTTGGATGGACTCAATGCATTTCCTTAGATGGATCAACTTACATGGGCCTTCGTGGATGGATCCTGTTTAGGTGAACCTACCTTTGGAAGTTCACCCTTTGATGGATCTCAAATGACTCAGCTGGATGGACTTTATTTGATGGATGATGGATGATGGATGACCTTGGATGGACCCCCATGGACAGACTGCCCTTGGATGAACCCCATAAGATGGACCATGTTAGATGGATGAACCCCAAGATGGCCCTGGGTGCCTGTGATGGTGGAGGCCACGGCGGTCCCAGCACTGACCCTCCACGTGGAGGAAGGTGGTGGCGGCGGCGGTGCCCAGCTGGCTCTGTGCTGTACACACGTAGGCGCCGGCATCGGCAGACGTCACGGCATAGAGGTGCAGAGTGTGCTCCCGGTCCACCTCGTGCCTGCGGGTCACCAGCTCTCCATCAGCCTCATCCCCACACCAGGGATGGGTCACCTCCCCCCTGCCACCACCTACCTGCCCCAGGGCAGGTCTCCACGCTCCTTGTGCCACTGCACCTGTGGCGCTGGGTCACCTCGGGCGCTGCAGCCCAGCTGCACGGTGCTGCCAGCCACCGCCACGGCGTCGCTCGGGTGCCGCACGATGCTTGGCTTCTCTGCAGGGGGACATCGAGGCCAGAGCACCGTGGCTGGGTGTGGTGTGCCCACCACCTGTGGGAGGCCCTTGGCTTACCCAGCACAGAGACGCGGGCACCCCGGCTCTCCCTCTTGCCCGCCGCATTGGCCGCCACGCAGATGTAGAGACCGGAGTCGCTCCGTTGTGCCGATGCCACCTGCAACTTCCCCTTGGTGACCGTGTACCTGCCACCTACCAAGTCCAAGGTCACCCCGTCCTTCTTCCAGGTGATGTAGGGTTCGGGGTACCCCAAGGGAGGGACACAATCCAGCTCCAATGCTTGTCCCGTTGTGGTCACCAAATCACCCGGCTGCAGGCGGAAATTGTCCCGCAGCACTGCGGTGGGGAGGGCACATTGTGGGTGGGGGGAAGGGGATTTTCTGGTGTCTCCCCACCTGCATCACCCACCCACCAGGTGTCCTTACCAGCTGGAGCTTGGGGTGCCGTGGCCACGCTGGGAAGGCGGCAGCCTGTCGGGTGACAAGGAGGCAGGGGAATGCCAATAGGTGCCTCAGGTGGGCATGGTCTCAGATCCGCGGGGGGCAGGGGCAGAGTTAAGTGGATTTTGGCCCCCATGGGCTCACTCACCTCCGCGGTGCAGGGCGGCGAGGCAGAGCCCCAGGCCCAGTGCCGTCTCCCAGCCGCCCGCCATGCCGGCCCTGGCCAGCCTTCCCGTTTCCTCCCGAAATCCCGGTTCCTCCCCGCCAGCACCGGGGCTGGATCCGGCTCCGGATGGGGGGGTACAATAGCCGGATGCGGGGGCCGGGAAATGCCGAAGGGGGGGGGAAGGTGACGGTGAACACAAACATCTCAGCCATCCTGAGGCAGTGGGAGTGCCTGGCCACGGTGGCACTGGCAGCACCCAGTGGAGACAGCAGAGTGGGGGACACAGCGGTTAATGAATTTAATTAGTCAGAAGAAATTCCCCTTTTCCTTCGCCATGTTCGGAGGAAGACAAATTAAGAAGGATTCTCAGCTGAGGACACCATCAGTACATACCAGAGGGAACAGTCCAAGGTCTCCCATGCACTAAAGTGCCAGTCTGAGTGCCAGCCAGGTGTCTTGGGTTTTTATCTGTCGACAACTTCTCATGTGCCCCCCCACCCTGGGGGACCCCGTCCCACAAAGACACCCAAGGGTGCCACCACCAGACGGGTAGTACATTTAGTTTATTGGTTAGTAGTGCACCCCGAGCACTCCAGGGTACCCCGGCACCCACCCTGGGTGCCCCAGGGCCCGGCTCGCTTGGCCGGCCGCTCTCTGCTTTTCATCCTAAACCTATTTCCCATGAAGGCTTGGGGAGAGACAGCATCATGTGCCCCAAAACCGGGGGATTTTCACAGAAAATCCTACCATGGCAAAGGGGCAATTCTTGGACCAGGGCTTCCAGCCCACGTTTAGGGGACATTGCAGCTGGGGAGCTGGGCAGGCAGGAGGGAGCCCCCTGTTTAGAGCCCCTGATGTGTGTTGCGCCCTTGGGCGAGCCTGTGTGCCAGCGCATGTCCTGCTGCATGCATGGGGGCTGTGCCACGGCGGGCAGGCACCGTGCTCTCGCACACACGTGTGCACGCATGGTCGCTGGGCATGCAGTGTGTGTGCTCCCCGTGTGCGTGTGCACGCTCCAAGCATGCTCAGCTGCTTTGTGCTCGCTCTCTCCACACACACCACACACACCCTGTGCAAGCACAGCACATGCACTCTTTGCACACTCACTGCAGGCTCCACGCATGCCCTGTGCCAGCACTGCAGGTTCACTCTTGCACATGCTCTGAGCACACTCAGCTGCTCGCTTTGTGCACGCTCTTTCCACACACACCGTGCACATTCTGCGTGTGCTTTGTACAAGCACTGCACACACCTTCTCTGCTCACCCTCTTTGCACACTCACCACATGCTGCGTGCACGTCCTGTGTGCATGTTCGCTCCCCACGCTCCATGCACACTCTGCAGGGACTCTGCACACGCTTGGAGCACACACACAGGGCTGGCACGCTCACAAAGGCCGTGCAGGCTCAGTGAACACTCTGAACACTCCATACATGCACAGTGCACACTGTGTGCAGCCTTAGCTGCACGCTCCATCTGTGTTTTCTCCACGGGCTCCACGTGTTCTCTTGCATGCTCTGTGCATCCTCTTCGCACACTGTGTGCACACTTGCTGCACACCTCGTGCCTGCCCCCATGCGCCCTGTGTGCACAGTCCACGTGCCCTCCTGCACTCTCCATGCACATGTGCAGTGCTGGAACGCTCCCCCTGCATGCTCCATGCACACCCTCTGGCACACTCTCTCCGTGCACTGATTGCATGTTCTCTCTGCACACGCGTGTGCTTTCCGCACGCTCCCTGCACACTCGTCCCGGCGAGAAAGCCATTAAAGCGATGCCCCAGGAAGATGGGGGACGGAAGAGGGGAGCTCCGGGTGGGATCAATAGGAAATTAGTGACTTTACGCCGAGCAGAACGACGCCCAGGGTGGGAGCGGGGCCGTGCCGGTGTCCCCGCTTGCTCGGCGGCGGAAGAGCGGCCGTGCCGGTGTCCGTGCCGCTTGCACGCTGCCGCCCGAGCGCGCACAGTCCCCGCCGCTCAGGCGCTGATCTCCACGGCGTTGGCCTCCTCCTGCTCCCGGATGACGTGCACGCCCGCAGTCCGCAGCAGCCGCGGAGCGCCGCGGGACCGCGCCGGCGAGCCCGGCGGCGACCGGTGGGTCCGCGTGGAGGCGGGCGAGCGAGCCGGCGAGCGATGGTAACGGCGAGTGGAACGCCCCACCGGCCCCGGCGAGCGACCGGCCGCTGGCACCGGCGAGCTGCTGTAGCCTGGCTCCACCGTGCCGCGGGGCTCGGGCAGTGAATCCTCCTCCGCCTCCGGAGAGTCCTGCCAAAAACCGAGAAAAACGTGGGACGCGTGCGAGACCCTGTGCCGGGATGCTGCCGGTGCGCGGCTGCTGCTGCCGGCTCTCACCTTATCTTTAAGGATGTACAAAGCCACTGGGTTCTTGCGCTCGTGCTCGCCGCTCCGTGGGATGCCTTCGGCTGCGTGGAAGAAGGTGCTGCTCACCATGCCAGGAGCAGGGGTGTCCCCCAACCCACCGCTGCCACGCCGGGGCTGGCACTCACCCTCGTGCTTCAGGCGCTCCTCGTCCTGCTCGGCGTAGTCAGAGGTTGGTTGTGTCTCTGCTTGTCGCTTCTCCCTGGAAAGGGACAGGGGATGGATGGGGCAGCAGTGGCATCGTGTTAGAGGCACTGGGGGAACTGCCTGTGGCTCATCCAGGGAAGGGGCAGGTACTGCAGGGAGAGAGAGGTGGGATGGGATGGGATGGGATGGGATGGGATGGGATGGGATGGGATGGGATGGGATGGGATGGGATGGGATGGGATGGGATGGGATGGGATGGGATGGGACGGGACAGGATGGGTTGGGGTAGTATGTGTCAAGATGAGATGAGATAGGATAAAGGACAAGATAGGATGGCAAGAGATAAAATGGGACAAAACGGGATGGGACAAGACAAGATGGGACAACCCCCTTTGTCTCCCCTGTCATCCCCACACATACTTCTTGGAGGGTTTCCAGCAGGCACAAACTGTCACCAGGGTGACAAGAAGAAAGATGCCACCTGTGGACAGGATGATGTAGAGAGAGCTCCGGCCTGCAGGAGAGAAATGAGGGGGGACAAGCCCCCGAAAATTTTAGCTGAAAGTATCTGCAAGGGATGGCCAAACCTGGGAATGCAGAAGGGAAGAAGGGCTGGCTTACGGTAAACAGTGAGCTTCACGGGGATGCTGCGGCCGTGGCTGATGGGGTTCTCCACCAGGCAACTGTAGACATCATCGTCAGCCATGAGAACACGGGTGATGGTGAGGATCTTCTGGTCAGGGGAGAGGAGCAGGCGGGAGTCATTGCTCAGGGGCCGCCCGTCCTTCAGCCAGGTGTAGGTGGGCTTGGTGCCATTCTCGTGTGAGCAGTTGAGGGTGAAGAACTCACTGAGCTCCAGCACTGTTGAGGAAGCCACCAGCACTTGTGGCTTTGAGATGGGAACTGCGGGCAAGTAAAGGAACCACAGTGATGCCATATCTCAGGGGATGGATTGGCTCAGAGGGCAGGAAGAGAAACACCAAAACCACACCAACTTGAGGTGGTTGAAACCCCCAAAACCACCTCCCAGCTGGAGAAATCCCTCCCAATATGTGCTCAGGGAAGACATCCCATGGATAACCCAGTCTCCACTGGATGTCCTTGCCCTTACTGTCCACGGTGAGGTTGATGGTCTTCTCGCCAGTGAAGGTGTCATCGGTGATGGACACCTCCACCTCGTAAGCGCCTTCGTCAGCCAGCTGCAAGGGGCTGATGAGCAGCGAGCCGTTCTCCAGCACGCGGATGCGGTCGCGGTAGTCGGGCCGCAGGTTGCCGATGATCTCGGTGCCGATGGACTGGACGACGGTGACGGGCTTGTCCCTCTTCAGCTGCCACTTGACCACCGGCTTGTCCGCGCTGGCGCTGGCGTAGCGCACCGACAGCAGCGCCGCCTTGCCCGCCGTGCCGCGCACCAGCGGCGTGGGGCTGGTGATGTTCACCCCTGTCAGCAGACCTTGGGGAGCGGGGAGAGACAGTGGGGTGCTGAGCATGGAGAAACCCCAAACTGGAGCTGCACTGAGCACCCCCAAGGTGCCCAGCTTGGATCCATAACCTTTGCAAAGATGCACGTGTGACCCCAAACTGCAGGAGGGGTGGGAGCCCTCCTGCACTCAGATCAATGCAGCAGGAAGAAATCAAGGAAACACCCCCAAAATTGCTTTGGGCATGGGAGGTGGGTCCATGCAACCTCCTGTGAAGAGGCATTATCACCCCCCAAAGCTGCACTGGGGGTGGGAGTGCTCCTGCAGCCAGGTCAATATAACCAACCCTTTGCAGAAACGCATGTGTCACTCCAAAAATGCAAGGAGGAGGTGTGGATGGCACACCTCCTGTTGCTAGGTTCTGCAAAAATGCATGTAGTGCCCCCAAAATATGTAGGGCTCGGGCAGGAGCTCTCCTGCAGTTGGGTCAATGGAACCCTTTGCAGAAATTCATCTACCACCCCCAAAAATGCAGGGGGAGTGTTCCTGCAGCCAGGTCGATGCAACCCTTTGCAGAAATGCACACATCACTCGCAAAAATGCAGGGGGTGGGAGGCAGGTCGAGGCAACCCTTGGCAAAGTTGTATCACTGCCCTGCAAAAACTGCCTGGGGAGTGAGAGATCAGTGCAATGATCAGTGCAATGCTTTGCAAAAACACCTTAATTCCCCCAAAAAATGGTGGGGGGGAAGGATTTTGTATCCCACCCCCATCCCCATTGGATGCTCCTGTGCAGACAAAGCCCCCTCAGACGCAAAACTGCATCACGAGAGTCTTTGCACGTGCATTGCTCCTCATCGCTGGTTTTAAGCCAAAAAAGGCAGGGAAAAAGTGTAAAAACATGATTTCCTGGGGGAGGGGACCCCCCAAAACATTCTCCCTGCCCAAAATACCTTAGCATCCCTGTCCTGACATCCCAGAGGCACCATCCATGAGCCCCCCATACGGATACCGTCATCGGCAGCGAACAAACCCCATATTGAAGAGGAGGGGAGAGTGGGAAAACCAGCTGGGCTGGGTGAAGCAGGAGCAAGAAAGGCCTTAAACAAGCCCGAAAAGTCATGGGACCTATTGGTATGCAGCATCCGTCCGTCCGTCCTCCCCGGCCGTGCTCGGCCCCGCAAGCATTCCCTGACTCGCCAAATTTTGGGGAACCCTCACCCCACAGGGAAGGCCAAGGCATGGGATGGGGATGTGGCCTTCAGTGCATCCCTGCCCCCTCCCCGTGCACCGCCAAATCGCTGCTCTTTAACTGTTTCTTCCCTTTTTTAAACCCTATTCCGAATTTTTTCTCCACTCTGGATAAAAAAATTTCGGGATTTCAGTAATGAATCAGGAAATGCTCCATTTTCCTACAGCATCCTTGGTTTAGGGATGGAGATCTCCCAGCCCTTTTCAATGGCTTTTGTTGAAAAAGCCCGACAAAAATCCTCATTTTCACACTATTTTGTGGCACAAATCCCTATTTTTTTTTTTTTTAAGTCCTGCAGTATTTTTTGGGGTGTCCTCACCGCAGCCCTGGCCGTTTTTAGGGTCTAAATCAAAGCCAGCAAAGAACCCAGCTGGTTTTGTTTTTCATCCATCTGCCCCATCTGAAGGGAAATGGGGCCTCCCCAGGGCTGCTTTTGGGCACAAACTTTGGTAAAATGGAACAAAATTGTTAAAGGTTGATTTTCTGTGTTGCCAGAGCTAGGATGGGGTGGTTTGGGGCTCATTAAATTCCAAAAAGTGAGAATTTAGAGAATAGATTATGGAGAAAACTAGGGTTGCAGTGGGATGAAGCAAGCCGAGAAATGGGGTGAAAAATGACTTTTTAAGGGAAGCTGAAGAATGGGTAAGAGAAAATATCTGGAGATGTTAAAAAATTAGGAAAAAATGGGGTTCAGGGAAGAAAAAAAAATGAGGAGAAGCTCAGGGTGGGGGCAGTGCCAAATCCTCCCCCACATCAGGACCTGCTTGGCTCTAGAAAAGTATTTTCCCCAGTTTTTGTTCCAGTTTTACCCCCTTTTTAACAAGCTCCCAAGCAGAGGGTACGCTCGACAGCGCAACAACCCTCCCTCCAACCCCCCCCATAGGGCATCACCACCCTCATCACCCCCCCGGCCCTCATCCTCCGTCTGGATACCCCCAAGACCCATGGAAAAAAAACGGGAAAAGCGTGGAAAAACCGGGAGAAGTCCCTACCTGCGTGCAGCGCCAGAAGCCAGGTCACCGGCAGCAAGCAGGGGGGAGCGGGGTGACCCCGCGGGGCAGCCGGCGCTCCCCACATTTCGGGCAGGCTCGCCCCCCGAATTGCTCCGCTTCCCCACTCTGGGCACGTCCCTCGGAGCTCCCGGCTTGGCGCTTCGCCCGGCTAATTTATTTTTTCCCTTTTTTTTTTTTTTTTTTTTTTTTTTTTTTTTTTTTTTTTTTCTTTTCTCAATAGAGCCCTGTGTCCCGGTGGCTTTCGCCTCCTCGGAGGCCTCGAGCTGACATTTATTTGAGGAAAAACCACTCAGATTTGCAATTTTTCCCCGGTTACAGACCCCCAGTTCCAAGTTTTCCCAGTCCCCAGGACACACTTGGGGTGGGGGGCATCACCCCACCGAGCCCAGCTAAGGTTTGCCATCCCTCTGCGGACAATCCGATGGGATTTTGGGCTCTGAACGCCCCATTCAGATAAGCTGGGGTTTTCTTTAGGAGGGGTATTTTGCAAAGCTGAACCCCCACCCCAAAAGAGCTCCCTCCGCTTTTTTCCCCCTCCCCTCTTCCCGGGCTCTAAAAGGAAGCGCGGTGGCATCCAGGCGTCATTCCAACTCCATGCCAATTAGCGCCAGTTCCCCGGGCATCGCTGAATAGGGCAGCGGGATGTGGGGCAGGATGCCCGGAGCCGTTTCCCGGGACCGGCCAACTCATCACCCCAGTGAGCCTGCCCCCCAAAAGGGCTCGATGCCTCCAAGCATCCTGTCCCAGAGGGAGGGAGATGCTTTGGGGGAGACGTGTTATGGGGAGATGGTCGGGGGGGTTGGAGGATGCTGCAGGAAGAGGCTTTGAGGGGATTTTGGGGAGACATAAAGGGAGACAGACTGGCGCTTTGGGGTCATGCTATAGGGAGGTGCTTTGGGGGGCCTTTAGGGGGATGCTGTGTGGAGATGTAAGGGGATAGTCAGAGAGGGTCGGGGATGCTGTGGGGAGACACCATAAGGATATTTGGGAGCCACTTGCACGGGGATGCTCTGTGTGGGGTGTTCCAGGGATGCTCCGGGGGCAGTTCCAGGGATGCTCAGGGGGCAGTTCCAGGGATGCTCCGGGGGCAGTTTCAGGGATGCTCAGGGGGCAGTTCCAGGGATGCTCAGGGGGCAGTTCCAGGGCTGCTCTGTGTGGAGTGTTCCAGGGATGCTCCGGGGGCAGTTCCAGGGATGCTCCGGGGGCAGTTTCAGGGATGCTCTGAGGCAGACACGGCTCCTCCACCCCCTTTCCACCGGAGGCGGGACTCGAACCGGGTACCTCAGAGCCCTGAGGGGCCGCGGCTGAGGGCGGCAATGGCGGAGGGGGCGGGGCTTCAGGCGAGGCGGGGCAAAGATGGGCGTGGCCGGGACTCCAGGGGGCGTGGCCGGAGCGCCTGGGGCGTGGCCAGAGCGCTCGGGGCGTGTCCGGGGCGCTCGGGGGCGTGGTCAGAGCGCTCGGGGGCGTGGCCAGAGCGCTCGGGGCGTGTCCGGGGCGCTCGGGGGCGTGGCCAGAGCGCGCAGGGGCGTGTCCGGGGCGCTCGGGGGCGTGGTCAGAGCGCTCGGGGGCGTGTCCGGGGCACTCGGGGGCGTGGCCAGAGCGCTCGGGGGCGTGTCCGGGGCACTCGGGGGCGTGGCCAGAGCGCTCGGGGCGTGTCCGGAGCGCTCAGGGGCGTGTCCGGGGCGCTCGGGGGCGTGGCCAGAGCGCTCGGGGCGTGTCCAAAGCGCTCGGGGGCGTGTCCAGAGCGCTCGGGGGCGTGTCCAGAGCGCTCGGGGGCGTGTCCGGGGCTCCCGGGGGCGTGTCCGGGGCGCTCGGGGGCGTGGCCAGAGCGCTCGGGGCGTGTCCAAAGCGCTCGGGGGCGTGTCCAGAGCGCTCAGGGGCGTGGCCAGAGCGTTCGGGGGCGTGTCCGGGGCGCGGCCGCGCGGCGGAAGCGGCGCCAGGATTCAAAGCGGCGCCGGCGGCGGAAGCGGCGGTTGGTGCGGCCTGAGGGGCTCCGCCGGGCGCGGGACTCGCTGAGGGGAGTTACGGGCCATGAAGGTGCGGAGGCGTTTGGGGGCCTACGGGAGGATGGCCCCGGGGGCGGTGAGGGTGCACGGGGGAGTCCGCCGGGGGTGAGGAGGTGCGTGGGGTGGGGGTGCGGGTGCGGGGAGGTCGGGGCACGAACCGCGGGGGAAGGGGGAGGGGGGGTGGGGTGCCGCGGGGCTGGGTAACCGGGGGCAGCGATGGGGTAGGGGGCTCTCAGCCACGGCCACTGGCCGGGCCGAGCTGCAGGAGCGGTGCGCGGGGCCCCGCGGTGGGTGCTGAGGGCGGGTTGGGGTGCCCGCAGCCAGCCTGAGCGCTGCCCGCCCGCAGGACCGTGCCGGGATGGGGCTCCCCTCCGAGCAGCAGCGCCGGGGAGCCGGGCAGCCCCCGCGGAGGCAGCAGCCGGGGGGCCCGCAGCGCAGACGGCGAGCACTGGCCGAGAGGAGCCCGAGCGTGGCGCCCGGGACCGTCTGGGTGGAGAGTGCGCCCGGCCAGCAGAGCCCGGCCTTCGTGAGTGCACCGAGGGCACCATCTGCCGGGGCTTCTTGAACCCTTCAGTGTGCCAAAAGTGATCTTTAACACAGCCTGAGGGCAGCCAGGAACATGGCTCCTAAAAATAATAATTTGTTTTAATGTGATTGAGCAGAGTCAGAAGCCACTGTGATATCCATGTAGTCTGGCCTCCCCTTTGCACAAGCCCTCAACATCTCTCTGAGTTGATCCCCCTCCAGTAAACTGTGTTTCTTGAGGAGAAATGCATCAAACTGAAACATCTGTCAGGTAGGAAACCCAGCCAGTGCTGCTTCTCGCTTTTCCACTCGTCTCTAAAGGATGTCAGGGAGTCGAGATTTTATTCTGTGTTACTGGTTAAAAAAAAAAAAAATTAAGCCAAGTGTTTCAGTAGTAGCCCTAATCTCCACTGTACCCCATTAGAAACACTTAAGGAAATCTTCATGCATGCTTATCTCAGGGATTTCTGTTTTGAGGGTTATTCTAAGAGGACTAAAAGTGCATTAAATATTGGATGATGAGTTCAGTCCCCTGTAATTAATGTCTGAACATTATAGAAGCTCCTGCCCTTCTGAGATGGTTTATTTCTGTATTGTAATTTAAATTCTGAAAGGTTGAGATAATTTATGGAAATCAGTCATCTCCATATTCCACAGGACTTCTGTCATGGCACTATGAAACTTCTGGGGGAGCTGATTTTTTCCTGATAGCTTCAAGAGGCCTGGATGCTCCTGGGGCCTCCCATGTGAGGCTTCCAGAGGTGAATGAAGCTGCCCAGGGTTATCTGAGCTTGTTTAATACGCTTCTAATTAATCCATGGTAAAGCCTCATGCATCAGAGTTGCTGCTGAGATGGGCAGTGGGTGAGCTGGCACTGGGCTGATCCCTGGAGCACTGTCTTGGTTTCATCCCTAACAATGTGGATTTCTCCCCTTGGAGTTTTGTTGGGCTGTGCTGACCCTGCTGTTCCATGTTCATCTTGGGTCTCACCCCATCCATCCATCCCTTCAGTCTCTGGTTTCTCTTGCTGTGTTGGCAGCCAGGAAAGCAGTGCTGTTTTATTTTGAGCCATGGTGGTGTTGCTTGGCAGAACTGCAAACAAAACAAAGTGGGATTTTTGGATTTTTCAGGTCGTTGCTCTTAATCTTTCACTTCAGATGGTAAAGACATTTGGAAGCAGTGCTGTGCTCTGTGAACTACTTCCCTGATGTGCTTCCAGCCTTGCAGAACAATACCAGGATGAGGGGCTGGCCTGTTCCTTTTGGATCCAGGCTTTGGATAGCTGAGCATCCTTTAATGGGAGCAGGAGCTGGGAGATGCTCTGAGAGTCTCCTTTTTCTTTCCTTCCCTGTGCGTTGCAGAGAGGCAAAGGCAGAGGTGTCCATGCTCTGTATCTCTAGTCAGACTCAATCCAGCCCATAATAACCCAGTAGATATTGTCCAAGTTGTTATTCCACATATTTTGAAACAAAACATGAAGTTTGCTCTGGGTGCCGCTTGCCTGCCTGGTCGCTCCGGGTGGGGGAAAAGGGAATCCAGGGACACAGGCTGCTCTAATGCTGCAGTGTAGCAAAACCCTGGTGAAATCTGCTTCTACCTCTCCCAGGCTTCAGCACTGCGGGTGGAGGAGGAGCTGAAGGAGCAGCAGCAGAAGAAGGCAGCCAGCCTGAGGAGATTCCAGGACGAGGTGAGGCAGCGGGTGAACCAGCAGGTCAGGCTGCGCCAGAGGCTGGAGCTGCAGAAGGCCTATGAAGCAGTAAGTGAGGCTGTGTCAGGAGAAACTCCTCCAAACCCAACATAAATTGGGAAAAATCCAAACACTGGAGCTTAAGTCAACACCTTAAGTCAAGGTGTTAATGAGGAAAACGGAGAAAATCTGAGGTTTCAGACCCTATGGTGGCAAGCAGTGTCCCAGGCTGGGTCAGTGTGATGCTTTGGTTGGTGCTGGAGATGCTTTGAAGCCTCCCCAGGGAAAGGTTACTGGCTCCCTGAGGCAACAGCAGAACAGAGCTCTGAAGTTCTCTGTGGAATTGCCTGGAGTTAAAAAACATCCAGGCAGGAGTTGGGAATGATGTGGATGTGTCCTGGCTGCCTTTGAAGCAAAGCAGCTTTTCTGCTGTTTCTTTTCTGATCCCTTTTCCAGAGCAGCCAAGTAGTTTTCAAACAACACTTTCCCTCTGTCTCCACATTCCCTTTTCTCCCCCACGGGCTTGTTTTGGATTATCCTTTGAATACGTTTAATTCTTTCTATTCTCAAACAAGTGCTGGGGAGGCTTGCCAGGGTCTGACTGTGGCAGAAAAGAAAATGCACTGAACATGTCACCAGCTTTGGCCACCCTTGGGGTGTTTGGGCTGTTTCCATGGCTGGCTAGGGATGTCCTCATGTAACTCTGCCAGCTCCAAGCGGGAAGCCCGCAAATGCCCTCAGCCCCAAAGAACCTGATGATTCTTTTTATTCTCAGCATGGAGAGACAAAACCTCCCTCCCCAGAAATTTCACCTAAGGGTGGTGTGATGTCACCACAGTTGACATCTTGCTGGATCATAGTTGGAGATCCCTCTGGCTTTTTCCTGGCAGGTGGAGAGGGAGAGCTGTGCTGCTGTGCAGTACTCCACCTCGTGGAAGAACACGTGCCTGTTGCAGAGTCTCCCTGCTCCCATCATCTGTGCACCCAGCGCTGGCTCTGGCCCAGCCCAGCCAGAAGAGGAGCATGAGGAGCCATTCCAGCAGCGAGCTGCCAAGGTGAACCCTGCCCCTCCTGCTGCTTCAGCATTTTGGATCCTCAGTGTTTGAAGTGGGGGAAGGGCCATGTTTTCTTTTTTTCTTCTACAGCACATCCCTAGTATTTGGGTTTGGATACTGGATGAAACGTTAGCTCACACTGTCACCCTGAATGTTGTGGTGCTCCTCAGAGCATCCAGCTGGGTGGCTCGTCCCAGCTGCTGTGGCTGAACCGGTCTGGCTGCTGGCAGGCACGGTGTTTTCCCAGCCGTGTCCTGGCACAGAGGTGGCACTAGGTGGTGCCACCTCATTGCAGCTTGTCCCGTGCAGCCTAAAATCTGGGAAAACCTGCCTTCAGGACTGTTAAAGCTTTTTTTTTTTTTTTTAATACTGATGTTTATGGTGCATTTGGTCGTTTAGAAAGCTTGTGCACTCACCTAGGAGCTGGAGTTATTCCAGTTGGAGCATCATGGGATGCATTCCAGTTGAAGTACCTTGGGGTGGAAAATCACTTCTGGCTGGATACCAAGCAAGAACACTTGGGATCTGGCATCTCAGCAACATATTTTGGGAGCAGATGAGTTGCCTGGATCAGAATTTCGGTACCTTGGGGCAGCTCTGAGAGACCCTGACTGTTTGTTGGGTTGTGCTGCCTTGACTATCTTGCCTGGAGCAGGCTGACTGGGAGATGTCTCCATGCAGCTGAGGTTGTGCTGTGTTTCCTTTGCCTCTCCTCTGGGCTCAGCTCAGCAGGGCTGTGCAGCAGGTGCGGCGCAGGCTGGCCTCCCGCAGGATCGTGTCCTCCAGGATCGTGTCCCCCGGCGCCTGGAGGCAGGAGGTGAGCGAGGGCTGGCCGGGCTGAGGGCAGAGAAATCACCTTGCAAAGTGCTTGGCAAGGTTTGGCTCTAATTAGCAAATCCAAAACATAATTCAGGAAGTTTCTCCAGCAGGACTAAAATAAACTGCTTTCCTGACTCAGCTTGTGGATAACCCATTTCAGAGAAGGCAGCAGGATAAACTGTGTGGAAACATCTCTGAGATGAACTCAAGAATGCAAAATAGACTTTTAAAGGTGGAGATTGTGATCTGGGTATCTGGGAGGAATGTGATGACAAGCCCTCCCTTCAGGTGCCTTTATTTCTTCAAACCTCGACAACTCTTTCCATTGCATCAATTGCTTGTTTTGTGTGGGTGGCAAAGATCTGGAGGGTTTTTCCTCACCCGGGGCTGGCTTCTGGTAGAGAAGGGTTGGCATGCAGCTGCGTTCCTCAAAGCAGTGCATGGAAGGAGGTCAGTCCCACCTTTTGTTCTGCTGAATTTCATCCTGCTTTTGCTCCTTCAGTTCTCAAGACCACTTTTGTGTTGTAGCTGTTTTCCTGGTCTCTATGCCAAGACCTTTCATGAACTGATGTAGTTTGGAGAACACCAGGTGCAACCCAGGCTGGTGTTTTGACTTATTGCCTCTGGACCCAGTTTCCTGCCCATCCTGTAAATCTTCATTCCCTTCTCTTTCTCAGGTTCACCAAAGGTGAAATAGATCTTTGCTGATTATCTAGAAACTACCCTTTATAAAAGGGCTGCTCTGGCTCTTCTTCTTTGTACTCTTGGATTTTGATGAAGTCAGTCAGCTCTGCAAATAGGAGTCAGAGAAACACAATAATTATGGGTCTCAAAAACCTTGTTACCTGTTTCCAACAGCAAACATCCTTCTTGTTTGAGCTACTAACGCATTCAGTGAGATAAGTTGATTTATGACCTCACATAAATAATGAAGGCACTGCCTAGGTGAGCCAGAGGGTTACAGGAGATCCGTGGGAGTCCTGAGCTAGTCATCCACAGCAGTGAGAAACACAGGCAGGAGTTTGGGACCATCCTCCCATCCCAGCCTCACTGCACCTACAGTTAATCTACATAAGGAAGTTTAACAGCTTCCCTGATTTATTCTGGGAAGACTATATGGATTTATTGCATTGCTTTGTTTTATTACTCCATGATATATGAGGAGAAAAAAGCTCCCATATTAATCTAAATCTCTCCCTGCATGAAGGTTTGGCGTGTTCCCAGCCTGGCAGAACAGCAACGTGTTCCCTTCTCTTCAGGTGCAAAAGGCTGCCACAGACAGAACCATGGACCCAACCCCCTTGGTAGTGCTGCCTCTGCTTTGGTGCTCCCTGGATTTCCTTGTGTTTTGTATTCCAGCCCATTTGTTTGGTTTTATCCCAAGGGGTTTTCACCTAATACATCAACAAAGCAAGTGGGGTCAGTAGCTTAATCAAGATGCTTCTTTCTTCCTTCATCCAGGCTGATAATGAAATCAAAGAGCAGAGCCCACCTAGTTCTTACCCTATTTCTGTGCAGTGAACTCCTGAGACCAAATCTGGGCCATGTTTTTAATCAGTTTTGTGCATCCCACATCAGACTTCCATCTAACAGGTTTTGCTTTACCCCAGTGTTGAATTAGGCCAAGTCAAGAGCTCAGCTGAACCCCAGAGTCTCTTGCTGCTCTTTGCCTGAGGCCTCTTCCTTCTATTGTAGGAGACCTTCAGTTTATCCTGGCCTGACTCTTGACAAATTCATGCTGGTTGCTGCTTATCTTGTTTTCTCGTGGCTTACAGATAGTTTGCAAGGTGATTTCCTTTTGTTTTTTCAAAAGTCACAGTTAAACTCTCCAGGCTAAAATCTTCTATTTGGTATTTTCTTTTCCTTTCTTTTAAATAAAGACACTCCTTGTGTCCTTTTCTGATAATCTGGACCACAGATTTCAGGGAGCTGTTTGCACCTTAGCTGCCACTCCTGGCAGCAGCACAGGGGAGGTCCATCCTCCTTAAAAAACGTCAGCTTTAGGAATTACCTGACATTTTCCTCCCAATAATAGTCCTGGCATTTTTCTCCCTGCTGCTGCTAACTCAAAGCAAGTCTTTGGCTGAAATATTTTTTCCCCCTCAGTGATGTTTTCTGCATTTTTCTTCCTCTTTTTCCTTTCTCCCTGTAAAGTATTGCATTCCCTATGATAATAATCCATGTTCCTAAGATTGCTGCTCTTTCTCTCCCTGCAAGATTCCTTTTCAGGTTAAAAGCATCCAAGGAGTTAATTGCCTGCTTTCCCAAGCAGATACCAGAATGGTAATTGCCTGGACATGACCTGTCCAGTGTTCCAGCTCGTCCTGTTACTGAGTCTTTGCCTTCAGGCTTTGGTGGACAGCTGTAGCTCCCCATCATGGCAGCACCCAATTTCTCATCCCCAGTGTCTCATTCCACCAAGCTGGTGTTGTTTTTCAACAGTGTCATGTCTTTCTACCTTCAGTGCTCCAGAACAACTTCTAAAGCAGTAACCCTTCCCCTCTGTTTCCTTATCCGTAGCAAAGGAGCTATTCTGTCATGTTTCTGTCATAATGGGGTTATCAAAGAATTCTTGGTATCACCTGTTCTCCCACTTATCCATCCTTTCCCTCTGTCAGCAGTCCTGTGCATCTCTTTCCACCATGCTGAAGGAAAGAAAGAAAGCAAGGGGAAAAAAATTATCCTGGCTTCAAGCTTGCTTTTGGCATTTTAATTCTTTATTTTGTAGGAAACAATCTGCTGCCTCTCAAAATATTGTGGATTGCCACTGGGGAGCCTGCCCACTTCCCATCTGAAGGAGTGTACTCCATACCCGGTGTCACTCAGAGATTCCAGCTCCTTGCCACTGTGAAGGAGTGCCTGGAGAGGTTTTTGCCTTGCTTTCCCTTCACCCCACGTCTGTCCCACTGCTCCTGCAGTTGGGGAGGGCACAGTCACAGTCACCCTGCTACATTCCTGTTTCCCAGCTCTGGTGACCCATGGTGCTGCTGAACACATGGTGCTGCCAGATCACGTCCAAGTGACAGCACACACAGCCTCCTGTGTGTTCAAGCTGCTCCAAGGGTGTTCAGTTTTCCCTTGGCACCAAAGCAGCCAGATTTCAATTCCATCTTTACACCCATGTCCTCCCTTCTCCAGGAACCAGACCCTTGCCCTGCAGCTGCAGTGCCCATGGAGGAGAGTGAGGAGCTGCTGCTGGCAGGACAACACGATCTGCCTGCTGAGCTGCTGGAGCAGGGCACAGCTGCACATGGCACTGGGCAGGATGATGGCTTCTACATCAAAATTGAGTTTGAAAAAGTAAGACTCATGCAAAGTTGGTCTTGAGTGGTTTGGATCATGGTTTTATTTTGGTGTCTCTGTGTGAGGCTGCTCTTGGAGTAGAGCAGTTGCTCCCTCAGGCCTGCTTAACTCTTAAGCCCACCATCCTCAAAGCAGGCTTGGAAGCAGTACTGGAGCTCAGTGAGGTTGGCACTGCCATTCCCTGCTTTCATGGCCTTGGATTCCTGCCTGCTTGTGATGCCACTTGGCAGCTGCCCAGGTGAAAGCTGAAACCAGGGCATGCAGTCACATCATGCCCAGAGCCTTGCTTGGAGCACACCAAAAGACCCAAGTGTGGAAGAGATCAAAAGAGATCAAATCAGAAAACTTGAAAAGTGGGGGGAAAAAGCCAACAAAAAACCCAACTTTGTATCAAGTGAGGGAGATGGCTGTGGCAATGCTGGTGCCTGGGGGTGGCAGGCCCTGCCCTAGGAGGGGTTGAGGAGGGTTTGATGTACTTATCCTTTCTCTTTTGTTTTCAGGCAGCTGTTCTTGAGCATTTAGAGGGTGGAAATGGTTCATCCCGATTACCTGGGGTGGTTGGCAAAGGCTTTATGGCTGTGGCAGTGTGTGCCCAGCCTTGGCTGGGATTAGTCCAGTTTGTAGCAGAAATCCTGGCTGGGCAAATAGGGACACAGCAGAAGTTTATGCTGAGGTTTACACTGAGGTTTTGGGAGATTTTGGCTGTGTAATTCCCCTTACATTTAGTTACTTTTTTCACACTCCAAGAAGTTCATAATAGAAGTTTGGGATGGGGAGATGCATCCATATTTAAACCAGAACCCTCCTCCAAGGAGCTTTGGTGCTCAGACTCCCATATCGAGATGTGGCACATCTCTCCTGTTCATGGCCAACCTGTACCCCAGATAAAGCCCATTTCCAAGGTGGGTTATCCTGTTGAGGTCTGGAGGGATCACACAGAGGCCCTGCTTTCAGTGAAGAGCATTTTGCTGGGGGAAGATGAGAAAGAGCTGTGGTGATGCTGATGCTGCTCCTTTCCATTGTCTCTCAGGTCTGTGATGGGTCGGTGAAGATCTCCAGCCTCCCTGGGCCTCCTGGGAGGCCACAAAGTGAATTCCAACCTCCCCTCAAACTCTGGGCTGGTGTTGACCAAGAGGAAACCAGGAAGCAGGTCTGTCCAGGGGAGCCAAGCCCTTGTGGTTCTGTTTAAAAGAGATTGGGTGTTAGGAATGCTGCTGGCTCTAATAAAAAACCTCAGAGGAGCTTTGATGTATGAAACCCCTACTGGGTTTAGTTTGTGGCTTTTGGTCGCAGATCTTGGGCAAAGCTACCAGGTTATTTTTTAAAATCTGTTGTGACTAAATGCAACTGTTACCTACTCCTTCTACAAAATCTGAGATCTCAATAACACCAGAAATTTGAAGGAGAAATAGGCTTCTTTCATTCTGCCTGGCAAAACCAAGGGGTGCTTGCTGTAGCTGCAAGGAGCCCAAGAAGCTGCCAAAAATGCTTAAAAAAAACCTCCAAGAACAAAGCCAACTTTATCTTGTTTAAATACAAGGCTGGAATATAAAGGTTTCTTTGCTTTTGGAAATAGCCTCAAGCTCAGCCTGCAGGCCAAGTGGATGATTTCACAGTGAGGGTTTACAGCCTGTGTCCTGGACAGTTTGGACAGTTTGGCTCATGCTAATCTGAGTGATACAGAGTGATGATGTTTCTCTTGGATGCCTAAAGCCAGTGACTTTGATTTTCCTGCTTCCTCCTGCCATGAAGAGGAAAATTTCTCCTTTTGTCACATTTCTTGCAGTTTGCAGTGTAAAATTATGAACAATTTGCATGTTTTTTGTTTCTTGCAAGTGTTTTCCAACCAACTGATCCCAAATATGGTTGTGGTTTCTTGCCAGTGTGACAACAGCTGGGGCTTCTCAGGCTGCTTCTCCTAACCCTGCTGTTCCCTTTCCTCTTGCTTTTAATCTCCTTGGCTCTGATCCATCCTAGATAACTAGTTTTGCAGCACTCTCCTCTGCCTGGGTTTTTTCCATCCAGTATTCTTCACTGGCAGCCTGGTGATCTCTTCTCCTCCTCCTTTATCTCCAGCTGTGCTGGGCTCTCTCCACTGAGTGAGGTGGACAAACTCAGCCCAAAGGTTTTGGCATTCTTGAGGGAAAATCTATGCATTAAATTTTTGGGAGTCATGGAGCTCAAACTATCTCTGTACCCCACAGCAGGTGGGCTTTTGATGTGAGCTTTAGCCAGGAGGTTTCCCTGCCCTTGCCGCAGTGGGATCAGCCAAAGCCCAGACATTAAACCCTCAGTATCCATATGGGAGTTCTTCCTGCAGGGCCCCTGGATTTGTCTCACCAATGGTTTTGCCACCTAGGGGGTTCTCCTGCATGTAGAGACTCCAGCTTGGTGTTACATGCTCATCTTTTGGAGGAGATAGAGCATTCCAGTGCACTGCAGTATCCAGGTGGCTCCAAATTCAAACAGGCTGAAGTTGGAACTGGCTCTTTTCCCATCAGCAAAGAGAGAATTCAGGAATTTGCCAGGTGGCAGAGCTGCCATCCATAGCCAGTGTCAGTGGAGGGATGCTGGCACAAAGCTCTCCAATGCTTTGACCTGACTTGGTCTTTCCAACCTTGATGCCATCTCTGCAGCTTCCCAGTGCTGGGTCACGTGCACTCAGAGATGCTGAGGCTCTTTTGGGGAAAGAGCAAGGTTCCATCTTCCAGAAATCAAGCTGAGCACTGAAATGACTCAATGTTTATCCGAGGCATCCTTCCCAAATGTCCTTCTCTTGTTCTCCAAAGCGGCAGAGCGAGTTCCTGCGGCGCCGGCGCCTCTTCATGGCCCTGGAGCGGGAGCGAGTGAGGGAACACCAGTGGCAGCAGAAGAGGCAGCAGAGAGTTGCCCAGTGAGTCCGTACAGGTGGTGGGGTCACCTCCTCCATCAGGGTCCTTCAGAAGGTTGGAAGAGTCTTGTGAGTTTGTCTCACTGACGTGTAATGCCCCTGGGGTGGGATTCCCACAGCCAACCCCCCAGCAGAGACCCTTGGGCCATGTTGAGTCCTTTAGCACTTCTCTGTCTAGTTTTGAAGTCCTTGTGCAGCTCATTAAGGAGCTGGGAGCCAAATCATGGGCTGGGAGAGATGCAACTTCCCAAACCATGACTCTGGGAACTTAAGCCTGTGTTTAGAAACTTTGGGGTGAGGTTACCTTGTTGTGCTGAGCTGTGACCATCCCTGACATTTTTAATATCAGACCCTTCCTGGTCATGGCCATAAAAACTTATACAATGTAATAAAATATTTTACAGGCATTTGTTCCAGAGTTGAACACTTGGTATCTGTGTAGAAGTATCAGTTGTGGTGGAATTTTCTCGGCTTCTCCTGTGAAGGGGTTCACTAAGGAGAAGCTCTGCAAATTAGAAGCTCTGCAAACTCACAGCAAAATAGGAAAGGTCCTCTAATTTTTGTTTTTTCCCTGGCTTTCCTTTGAATGAACTGACTGAAATCTGACCATTCTGGCTCTTCTGTGATCAGGCTTTGGGGGAGTGGGACAGGCACCACAAGGCAGGATTTCATGGCTGTTTTTTGGGAAAAAACTGCCAATCTAAAGCAGTGCTCCTTGAGCCACATCCTGACATTCCAGCAGCACTTGGGAGCTTAGGAGAGCTTGACCTACTCTGTGAATGCTGGCAAGGCCCCAGGGATTCCTGGGGCAATACCTTTTTACTATTGTTTTTTCATTTAAGTGTGTTCAGAGGGGAGCTGGGTTTGTAATTATGGGATATAAAGCCCCGAGGTGGCCTTGGCCTCACTTTCTGGAGTGGATTTATAGTGCTGTACTTAAGGTTCTACATTTCATTTAAAAAACATTTCCAATTTTATAACTCAGCCAGAGAAGGTCAACTTCAGCACTTTCTTTTTGAATGTAAAGATTTGACTCCCTATATGAAGTAAAGTTTGAAATGTCTTGTCCTGGCTTCTTCCCAGCCTTGATTTTGGTTTTAATGCCTCCTGGCAAGGAATGGGCATTTAATGTCCCCCCTGGTGTGGGACACTTGTGGCATTTGGGAATAAAATGTCACTTTGGTGTAAAGTCTTTGTGCTTTGCAATTGCTGCTTGTCAGGGGAATGTGTGTTGTGTTTGGTGGAAATGACACAACCCAGGTTGTTCCAGGTACCACTAAAGGGCTGGAGGGCCGTGCAGTGCAAGGGAGACTGAGGAAATAGAGGAAAACTTGGTTAAAAGTACATTTTAAAGCCTGATTTGGAGTAAAGGTGGGATCCTTGGAATTTCTCTGCTGTACCCAGCCCTGTCATGCTTCCCTGTCCTGGAAGGTGCTTACAGAAGGATCCAAGCTGCCTCATGGTCAGAAACAATGGGAAGTGGAGCAGCTGGGAAGCCAAGGTGTTGGTCTTTTCTGGGGGGTATTAAAAAGCCCAGCCTACATGCTTTGTTTAAGGACAGAAGTGCAGCTTTGGGGAACTGTGGGTGGCAGGAGCATGTGTGGATGTCATGCAGGAAGGAGCTGGAAGTCCAGGATGGTGAGAAAACAGGCGGGCAGGAAAGCATTCACAGGCTGGTGTTGCAATATGGGGGGAGGAATGGAGTCTCAGGAAGCTTTTTGGACCATTCTATGTTTAAAGCAAATATATTTGTTTATATTCATTTATATTTAATGCTGTGATTAGTGCAGAATTACTTCTGCCTTTGACAGCAGCAGCATCACCCAGATTCCTGTGCCCTGACCTCACAGGCAGGGATGGAGGTTGGGATGGGAAGCTCTTTCTCTAAGCATGTGTGTTCCTGCAGGATTAAGAGGCAGAAGGAGAATCAGCGCCGGGCAGAGGAGCAGAAGATGCGAGACATGGCTGAGCATGGAGAGCCCTCCCCAGGAGAGGGAACCTGGGAAGCCCTGGCCCAGCTCCAGCTGGAGGAGAGCAGAGTGAGGGACAGACAGCAGCGGAATAAGGAGCGCGCGAGGTACACCCAGTCTGCGCTCGTCGTGCAGGGCCAGGTGTCACTGCCAGGGGTGAATGTTTGATCCCTTGCAGGTATGTTGAAGCTCTGAGAGCCCAGATGAAGGAGAAAGTCAAACTCTGTAACATCGACTTGCCCCCACTGTGTTCCTGTGGGTCTGATTTCTGGGATTCCCACCCGGATACCTGTGCAAATAACTGCATCTTCTACAGAAATCACAAAGGTAGGAGCTCCTGCTTTCACAGAGGAGACCCCTGGGCCTGATTATACAGGAGGAAATCAAACCAGGATAGGTGTTTCCATGCTCCTGGGCTGCTGTGCAGGGATGTTCCTCCAAATATGCTCTGGAGAGGACAAGTCAAGGGCTTTGCTTGATTTAACTAGGGAGTGTAGTGGCATCCTCAGCAAGACACCAGCCCCTACAATGTGCTAAATTACACAGCTGTGATACAGCCACATGTGGTTATGGACACAGCCATGAGGAAGCATCTCATTAGGGACATAGGTAAATGCTGAACCTTCTGCCAGGAGGATGCACAAAGGTGTGGAAATGGCCTTCCTTAGGGGATGGAGTGCTCTGACCTTGAGCACAGCTTGGGAAAATACCTGTCTGGGCAACTGGGAATTATCTGGAAGGGAAAATAAAGACATTTGGGTTCATAAAATAATCTTTAGCTTGTGTATTGATTTATGTTCAGGAGTTTGCAGAGTGTGCAAATGGGTATGTGGAAAGTACAGGCATGTCGATTTACCTTAAACCCCAATCGTTGTCTCTCTGCTTTGGTGAAAGGCTAGAGCCAAGCCCAGTTTCGGGCCATAAGTGCAACTCTTGTGCCCTGATAGTGTTTGTGTGTCCCTGTCCCCAGCCTACAGCCAGGCGCTGCACTCGGCCATCTCCTCCTGTGCAGCCACACGGTGTCTGCAGGACTTGGCTGCTCTCTGCGCTCGCTCGGGGAAGCGTCTGTGACGAGGCAGCTCCGTGTCCCAGCGACTGGGGTCAGCAGGGAGTGGGGCTGTGCCGTGTCCTGCCTGCCCTCCACGCCAGCTGCCAGGACGGTGTCACCTTTGCTCTCCCGCTCTGTGTGCTCCCGTTTGTGCCGTGCCTCTCCCACTCTGCCCCAGGTGTGCAGCTGGCCGGGGCGATGGTCGAGGTGAAGGAGGCAATTGCTCTGTGGGGTTGGTTTATGGCAGGTACTTGCATTCCAGTAGCTGACTATTGACTACATATTCTTATTGACAAATCATTATTGTGGAATAAACTGCTTTCAAGTATTGTTTGTCTCATTTGAAGTGTGAAAGGAGGAGAAATTAGGTGCCTGGGGTCAGTATCTCTTAGGGGAGGATTTCTAAGCTTCCCGTGCTCCCTTCTCTCCCTTTTCTTAGGGCTTCTGCCAGCCCCTGCCACTTGGATCGCCTTCCAGAGCCAGGAAGGGAATTTATTGTTCCATCTTTCTTTTCTGTGTGAGGACCTCTCTTCCAGTAACAGCCACACAGCTTTGCACCTGACCCATGCTCCCATAGCCTCTACTTTGCTCCTGAAAGGAAGGAGCACTTTTCTAGTAAAAAAATCTACAGGCCTTTGCAGGAGTGACTGAAGCAAGATGGGTTTTCCCAGAACTGCCTGTGGTGAGGTAACGTGGTTCTGGGCAGAGGTTACTCCATACCCTGTCATTAATATTTACTCCTTGCTGGCCCCCCTCTCCAATATTAACCATGGCAGGAAGGATGGGCGGCCGAGCGTGCCGGATCATTTCTTTTCCCTGTTCCAATCCCATTGGGCACAAAGCAAACACACCTCCGGTCCAGAGGTAGCACAGAGGCACAGAGCCAGGGTCTGCTCCTCGCTTCCCCCTGGAGAATCATTCACTGAGGGATCCGTGGTGGCTAATGCTGTTTATTAACAGCTGCTTGCGTCAGTGCGGCAGCCCTAATTCAGGGTGTTGGAGTGGGTTTGGAAAGGGCAGGATCTGCCCCGTGAGGGGGCAAGGAAGCAAAGGGCTAAAGCTGTAAATGGATTTCTAATAACTGATTTCAGCTCTAGGGCGGCTGAGGACAAGCACTTCCTTGGCAAGTCCCCAAGGAACTTGCTCAGGCCCTGGGGACCTCTGTTCCTACCTCTGGAGTGATCCCCAAAGGGGGTGTGGGCTGATACGGGGCTTAGTTAAAGGAATAAATACAGCTGTGCTACTCCTCATCCTCAATCTGCCCCTAGCAAGATAAATGGGATACTTTGAAAGGGGGTGGGGGAAGAGAAGGACTCCCGACATCTCTGGCAATAACCCCAAAATGTGTCTGGGGTAGCTCAGTCACCATCAGGGCAGCGAAGCCTGTTCGGAAGTTGCTGGGGTGGGAGTGGAAAAGTTAAATCCAGTTTTTTTCTGCTGGCAAATCTGCATGTGAAAAGGGCTGGTCGGTCCCTTCGGGGCTGTGCCACCTCCCCCGGCCCAGCGCGGCTGCTCCCTCGCTCCGCCGGGCTCGGAGGCGAGATTTGTTTCGGAGGGAGCGAGGGCAGCCCGGCTCACGCCGCGCGGCCCCGGGGCCGTGCCGGGGCGGGACCGGGGCCGGCGGGGCGGGAGCGGCGGCCCCGGGGGCGGTGAAAAGGAGCCGGGGGTGCCCGAGCGCCGCCGCCGCCCGCCATGAGGGCAGCGCTCGCCCCCGGGATCCGCCTGCTCCGCGCCCTGCCCCGGGACAGCCGGTGAGCGGGACGGGGGATAGGGACCGGGACCGGGGATAGGGACCGGCGCCGGGATCGGGACCGGGGATAGGGACGGGCTCTGGAGATAGGGACCGGGGATAGGGACCGGCTCCGGGATCGGGACTGGTTCTGGATATAGGGACCGGCTCCGGGATCGGGACCGGGGATAGGGACCGGCACCGGGATTGGGACTGGGTATAGGGACGGGCTCTGGAGATAGGGACCGTGGATAGGGACGGGCTCTGGAGATAGGGACCGGGGATAGGGACCGGCTCCGGGATCGGGACCGGGTATAGGGACCGGCTCCGGGATCGGGACTGGGGATAGGGACCGGCTCTGGGGATAGGGACCTGCACCGGGATCGGGACTGGGGATAGGGACCGGCTCTGGGGATAGGGACCTGCACCGGGATTGGGACTGGGGATAGGGACCGGCGCCGGGATCGGGACTGGGTATAGGGACTGGCTCCGGGATCGGGACTGGGGATAGGGACTGGCTCCGGGATCGGGACCGGGGATAGGGACGGGCTCTGGAGATAGGGACCGGCACCGGGATTGGGACTGGATATAGGGACCGGCGCCGGGATCGGGACTGGTTCTGGATATAGGGACTGGCATCGGGATTGGGACTGGATATAGGGACCGGCTCCGGGATCGGGACCGGGTATAGGGACCGGCACCGGGATTGGGACTGGTTCTGGATATAGGGACTGGCATCGGGATCAGGACCGGGATCGAGACTGGTCCTGGACATAGGGACTGGCACTGGGATTGGGATTGGCTCTGGGGATAGGGACCGGCACCGAGGTCAGGACTGGCTCTGGATATAGGGACTAGGATCGGGATCGGGACTGGTCCTGGACATAGGGACCGGCACCAGGGTCGGGACTATCACCGGGATTGAGACTGGAACTGGGATAGGGACTGACATCGGGCAGGGAGGGTGTCGGTACCGGGACAGGGACAGTCTCTGGAATGGGACTCACTCTTCCCTGGACCAGCACTGGAATAGAGGCTGGCCCTGGGCATTGGAGCCGACAGCACGGTGGGGACCAGAACGGGCGCAGGGATCAGCCCCGGCTTAGAGAGGAGGGGGTGTCATTCCACTGGGGACTGGCAACCACTGGAAGTGGAACCGGGATAGAAACTGGCCCTGGGCACAGGGACTGGCACTGGGATGGACGCTGACCCTGGAACAACAGACCGGCACCAGCACGGGGCCAGCCCTGGGACCAGCGCCAGACTGGAGACCACTCGCTGGGGACTGACATGGGGACAGGGATGGCACCTGGGCTGGGGACATGGGTGAGGGGTCACTGCCCCGGGGCCCAGCACTGCCTTCAGGCACTGTGAGATGGGATCAACCCACACCGCTGCAGCCCAGGGCTTGGGACTCAGCCTGGGGAAGGGGAACCTCGAGATGGGCAGCAGCACCCACCAGCCTCCGGATGCCTCAGGCCCTCACTCTCAAAATTCAGTGGGATGTGGCCAAAACAGAGACCTTGCCTGCTGTCTTCTTTTTTGACGAGGTGATAGGACTGCTGCCCATTTAATTTCAATTAATATTTGGATTTTTTTGAAACCCATTGCCAGACACTCCCCCTTGCTTTTCCATCTGCCGGAATTTTCCCTGCCAGAACATGTAGGGTAAAAAGGAAAAACCTGACACCCAAGTGTCTGACCCAGGGGGCACTGCATGTGAAGTTTATCTTCCCCTTCCCTGCCGTGGCCTCTCTGCTCCTCTTGGATCAGCCCTGCAGTCACTAGCAGTGATTTAGGGTGGTTTATTTGGTTTTTGGGGTGGGAAGCAGCAATTTCTGCAGCCTTGGAGCAGCATCATAGCACAGGGATTTGCAAGGCACCCGTCGCTGCTGCAGCTCCAGGGAGAAGTGAAACTGCAAAGAGGAGCAGGATGGGCCAAAACCACCAAAGGAAAGGTTGTTTTTTTTCTAAACTTGGAGCAACCTCGTGACATGTTTGTGTGCTGCAGCTGCCTGTGACTACTTGCATCCTCTGTGCTGCCATAAAACCCTTCCTGAAGGCAGGATAGCTCCTTCAGAGATACTCATCTTGCTCCAGAGAGTGCTAGATCCTTCTTGGGATTCTCCAGGCTTTATCTGTTAGCTTTGATGGGTGCAGAATCCCCATTTCCTAAGCCCAGACTCCCCCTTTCCCTGCATTTAATCCAAGCAAAGAGGATGAACTGGCTTTTTGGTGGAGGAAGGGGAGATGCTTTTTTTCCCACTTATCTTTGATGAACCCTGGCAGTGATGATGAATCAGCACAGTTTCCACTTGTGACACCAGGAAGGCACTTGCTCACCCTGTGTGTCGGTGGGATGTAACTGCTTGAGGAGATGGAAACACTGCTTGATGTTCCCCAAAAAACTCAGCTGATCTTTTTAAACCACATTCTGGGCCTTTTTGAGGGGGCCTGCTCACTTCCTGCCCAGCTCAGCTGAGCTGGTTCAGGTCACCAATCCAGTAAAAGAGTCCCATCGGGTGCTGAAGCCACCCATCCCTGTCCCAGAAACCCTGACCCCTCTGCCTCCTTCCTCCCACAGCTATCGGGGACTGACTCTGGTGCTGACCTTCCTCTCCTACACCAGCTACCACCTCTCCCGAAAACCCATCAGCATCGTCAAGGTGAGCTCCAGCCTCACCACTACTGTGGGGACAGGGAGCCTGGAGAGGGCACATGGGGAGGGGGATGCTGACAGCACTTAGACTTCACCCCCTCTCTCTCTCCCTGCAGAGCCAGCTGCACCCCAACTGCTCGGCCTTGGGCCCGAACCCCCACAATGACTCCAACAGCACCACATGGTGCAGCTGGGCCCCCTTTGGTAAGGCTGAGCCCCCCCAGGCACCCCAAAATCCACTCTTGTGGCAGCCGAGTTGGGCTCCCTCCATTCCCTAATACCAGATCGTGGCCAGGGTGTGGCAGGGAGCCAGCTGCTCATTAGGCACCGGAGGTAATTAAGTGATGAAGGTCTGTCCCATGCCCCTGGGCCAAAGGGCAGCAGCGGATGGTGAAGTCCATGTCAGGACCAGGTCCCAGTGCCGATGGCACCTGGCCATGCCCCACAATGCCCCCATGGACACCAGGCTTTTGGGAATGGGGGCAAGACCAAGCCAGCAGCCACGGGGAGGGGACACAAAATGGGGACCAGACTGAGGTGGCCCTAATATTTGTTTTCCAGATGGGGACAACTACAAGGAACTTTTCGGGGCGCTGGATAATGCCTTCCTGGTGGCCTACGCCATCGGGATGTTCATCAGGTACCCAGGACCTTCCCCTCCACTCACCAGTTTGCACCAGTCTGGCGGAAGCTGGTTTCCATTGGCATGGGGTCACGCTAACAGGAAAGCAGCCAGGGATCTGCTCAGGATTCGGGTACTGGCTCGGTGTGATAGTGCCCATTGCTGGCATCACCCGTGACAGCTTCTGGTGTGCTCTTCCCTCTCTCTGCAGCGGCATTTTTGGGGAGCGCCTCCCGCTGCGCTACTACCTGTCAGGGGGAATGGTGCTGAGCGGGCTCTTCACTGCCCTTTTTGGCCTCGGCTACTTCTGGAACATCC